AGGGATTAGGGATTAGGGATTAAGGGTTAAAGGTTAGGGATTTGGGTTGATTGTTCTTTTGCTCCACCTCCTCATCATTCTTATCCTATTTTTTTCTTTTTCTTATGTTTTGGATTTTCATTTTTATATGCGTAACTAATCTAATGTGTACTTTGATTTCAGTTGTTAGTGGCATGGACGAGATAAGGTTGAAAGCGGAGTTATGGTGCGAAAAGATAAGTATATCTATTTGTGCAAATTTGATTGGCTATCTTTTACATATGGAATTTGTTTTACACATGACTATTTTTGTATTTTCTTGTGTTTCTTACTTGTTATGTTCATTGTTTCTATTATTTTCAATTCCGGTCACTTTCACTAACCCACTCTTTACTTTTTATTTTTCGTTATTGTTTTCATGTTTTGCAGTACCTATAATTGCATATCATTTCTTTGATTATCTGTGGTTTGTTTGTTTTTCTATTAGATTAATTATGTTTTATTTCGTTTTTTTGAATTTTTGATTTATAGTTAGGGGTTAGGGATTAGAGCTTATAGTGAGTAGAATTTGGGATTAGGGATTACAGATTGTGTATTAGGGATTAGAAATTAGGGATTATGGATTACGGATTAGGTGTTAGGTGCTAGGGATTTGGGTTTATTGTTGGTTTGCTTCTTTTGCTCCACCTCCTCATCATTCTTTTCCTATTTTTTTCTTTTATTGCTTTTGTTATGTTTTGAATTTTCATTTTTATGTGCATAACTAATCTAATGTGTATTTTGATTTCAGTTGTAAGTGGAATGGACGAGATAAACTTGAAAGCGGAATTTAGGGGCGAAAAGATAAGTATATCTATTTGTGCAAATTTAATTGGCTTTCTTTTACATATGAAATGTGTTTTACACATGACTATTTCTACATCTTCTTGTGTTTCTTAGTTGTTATGATCATTGTTTCTATTATTTTCAATTCCCAACACTCTCATTATCTCACTATTTGCATTTCATTGTTCGTTATTGTTTTCATGTTTTACACAACCTATAATTGCAAAGGATTTCTTTGATTATATGTGGTTTGTTTGTTTTTTTATTAGATTAATTATGTTTTGTTTCCTTTTTTTAGCTTGTCGGTTTATAGTTAGAGGTTGAGAATTAGGGCTTAGGGAGTAGGGGTTTGAGATTAGGGATTAGCGATTAGGGATTAGGAATTACGGATTAGGGGTTAGGAAGTTGGGTTTATTGTTCTGTTGCTTCTTTTGCTCCACCTCCTTATCATTTTTCTCCTATTTTTTAATTTTATCGTTTTTGTTATGTTTTGAATTTTCATTTTTATGTGCGTAACTAATCTAATGTGTACTTTGATTACAGTTGTTAAAGGAATGGACGAGATAAGGTTGAAAGCGGAGTTTAGGGGCGAAAAGATAAGTATAACTATTTGTACAAATTTGATTGGCTTTCTTTTACATATGAAATGTGTTTTACACATGACTATTTGTACATCTTCTTGTGTTTCTTAGTTGTTATGATCATTGTTTCTACTATTTTCAATTCCCAACACTCTCATTATCCCTCTGTTTGTTTTTCATTTTTCGTTATTGTTTTAATGTTTACACAACCTATAATTGCATAGCATTTGTTTGATTGTATGTGCTTTGGTTGCTTATCTATTAGATTAATTATGTTTTATTTCCTTTTTCGGATTGTCGGTTTATTGTTAGGGTTGGGGATTTGGGCTTAGGGATTAGGGGTTAGGAATTTGGGTTTATTGTTCTTTTGTTTCTTTTGCCCCACCTCCCCATCATTCTTATCCTCTTTTTTGTTTTAGTGTTTTTGTTATGTTTTGGATTTTCATTTTTATGTGCTTAACTAATCTTGAGACTGTGTGGATGCTTCAATGGCCTTTCTCTTATCCATGCACTTATCAGAGGTGTCCCTATGCTCATTTTTTTGGGCATTATGGAAAGGAAGGTGTAGGAGGAGGTTTGAGGGATTGAGATTAAATGCTTTGAAATGGCAATCTTATATGATCAAACCAAAGAAAGAGGAAGGTAGAGCTGGTACAGATATGTTGCAAGACCTTAGGATTTATCCCCCTTTTTCGGTCACCACTAAACTGAAATGTATGAATTGGGAACCTCCTGCAATTAACAAGGTAAAATTAAACATTGATGGGACTTCCAAGCAAAATGGCCTTTCTAGTGGTGGGATGATTTTAAGGGATTCTAAGGGGCATGTTTTGTTAGCCGCTGCTGCAGCTTATGGGATTGGCTCTAATATGAAAGCAGAATGTCTGGCCTTATTGGATGCTCTAAAAATGATTATGCATCATGGTTTGGGTACTTCTCAGCTTGTTTTGGAATCTGACTCTCAAGTATTGGTTAACGTGGCGCTGGGGGTGGTTGAGGTTCCATGGCGTTTATCTATTTATATGGAGCAAATTTTAGATATTCTTGAGAAGATGAATTACCATATTAGGCATGTGTAAAGGGAAGCAAATAGAGTTGCAGACTTCCTGGCTTCTTATGCAGTGCAGGCTGGTAGGTAGTCTGATTTTTCTGATAATGGTACTCTGCCTAGTACTGGCAGATTACTTCTACAACAACACCAAGGAATGATAGCTTCTGCTAGACTAAACAAGGTTTTGATAAGTGAGCATAGGCAGGGGATTGGTTGACACTGGGCTTGGCGTCTTTGTGCACCTGCTGCTTGGTTTCTGGGCAGTGTTGTGTCTGGTTTGGCTCAGGCTCAGTTAGGGTGTTGAGGCCTTGGTGATGTGCTGCTGTATTTATGGCGTTGGAGCAGGGTTCCCTACTGATTTAGGTAAGGTCCCATCTGGGGCTATCTTCTGGCTGTTAATCCTGTTGTAGGATTAAAGCCAACTTATGTTGGTCTTCCTTTTCTTCATCACTCATCATCTCTTTATGTGAGGTGCTGGATGGTTGCTGATGTGATATTTTTACTTGGGCATGGTGCTGGGCTTTGATGCAGGGTCATTTTTCATTTTGCTGATTTTTCTCTCTGCTGTGGGTCTTGTGCACTGTTCATGCGACTGTTCACGTGTATGGCGTTTCTCTGCTGCTATTGCTTTCTGTCCAGCTGGTCCTCTTCTGTTTGGATCCTGTTCAGCTGGTCTGCTGGGGAGTGATGGTGGCCTTTCTGGTCCATTGGCATTCATTGATGGTTGCTGCTGGATCAGTCCAGCTTTTCTCCTTGGTTGCTGTTTTTTGATGGCCACTCTCTCCCCAATACTATGTCTTTGAGGTTATTCACATGGTTTCAGCTGGATGCATTATTCAAGTGCCTCTCAGATGGTTCTCTCTCGGCTGCTTTTATGGCATACTGTCCCATACATCTTCAGCTGTTTTTCAGCTTTTTCTGCGCCTTCAGCTGGATTGCTCGCCAATTTGCTGCTGTTTGCCACTGTTCACGTGACTGTGCACGTGAACAGTCAGGTTGCTGTCCCAGGTTTTTTTGGTTCTCTGCGGGCTCTTTAAAGGTTCCTCAGCTGGTTTTCCTCGGGTCCCTTTCACTTTCGCCTCTCAGCTGGTCCTCTCATGCTGCTGGTTTGATGGTTCTCATTGCGGTCAGTGGGAGGCTTTATTCTCAGCTGGTCTTTACGGGACTCCACCTGTTCTCCCTGGTTCTTTTCAGCTGGTCTTCCTCCAGTTAGCTTACTATTTTTAGCTTTATGGATTAGGTCTTAGGGAGTAGGGATTAGGGCTTAGGGTGTAGGGATTAGGTATTAGAGATTAAGCATTAGGGCTTTGGGAGTACGGATTAGGGGTTAGGGATTTGGGTTTTTTGTTCTTTTGTTCCACCTCCTCATCACTCTTATCTAATTTTTTTCTTTTATTGTTGTTTGTTATCTTTTGAATTTTCATTTTTATGTGCGTAACTAATCTAATTTGTGCTTTGATATCAGTTGTTAGTGGAATGGACGAGATAAGCTTGAAAGCGGAGTTTAGGAATGAAAAGATAAGTATATCTATTTGTCCAAATTCTATTGGCTTTCTTTTACATGTAAAATGTGCTTTACACTTGACTATTTCTACTTCTTCTTGTGTTTCTTACTTGTTATGATCATTGTTTCTATTATTTTCAATCCCCCACACTCTCATTATTCCACTATTTACTTTTTATTTTTCGTTGTTGTTTTCGTGTTTTATACAACCTATAATTGAATAACATTTCTTTGATTACATGTGTTTTGTTTGCTTTTCTATTAGATTATTTATGTTTTATTTCTTTTGTTATTGTCTTTCTATTGAAATTGTTAAATGTTGGAAACAAAATTTAATTACTTGGAGAGGGAGCAAGTGGTTAAATCATATGGTGAAAAATTAGGAGTTTGTAGCGTGTTAAAAATACTAATAGAATATAGAATTTAAATAGGGTTTAGGGCTTTTGTGATGAGAAATATCTTCTTGTTCATGTTGGTTTTTTTCCTTTGCTTTTTGTGTTTTACCAGCAAACTGAAACAGTGGATATAGGAATATATGATCATTCAGTTCCCAAAGCCCATCCTGTGAAGGGTAATTTTTGCCTTGGCTTGATGAAAATTTTGAATATAGTGCTTAGTAACTGGTCAAGTGTCGTATATTGTTTGTATTTAATGAAATTATATTGGTTTCTGTCTTCTGCTTGGTGTCTGTTGTTGGGTGTGCTATTACTTCCTTAACTCTTACCTTGCAGAGTAGGCGGCAAATGGCTACATGACACAACATTCATTTAGCGGCTCCATAGATAGTGCAAACATCACTGATGATGGTATGTATCAATAACTCTTGGTTGTTCAGTCTTGCATATGCCTGCATATCATTTTTTTCATGATGTGTGATTTAATCCAAGTTTTGGACAACAGCGTAAAAGCAAGCTAATCAACGATTTTCTATGACCCCTTACATAACACCCCGTCTCACTCCAACGGGAACTCCAAAAATAATTTCCACGTGTGTCCCCCAGAAGGTATTCGGCTGCTGGATCTCCTCAGAAAAGTTCTGCTACCACTCCTCAAGAAAAAATCAATATGAAGGACGGGGTGCACTGTCTTCATGGTACCCGTCACGCCAGCAGTCATCAGCCGCAAACTCTCCTCCACATGGACACCCAATGCCAGGTTTGGAAAGCCTATTGCAATTTCCAATTTGACTTCTGGCTGTTAGATGATAAACATAAGTGTTGTTTCTTTTGCAATCTTCTGATAATACTTGTCTATGTTCCTTCCTATTACAAAAAAGCAATTTTTTTTCCTACTAGTGCAGCTCCTTATGATTGATGCACTATATTGAATACTAGTGCTTGAATCAAAGTTCTTATATAGATTATGGCTTGATTATATAAGCCAGCTGGGGGCCAACTGTGACCAGCTGAACAGAACCAAAAACCACCTGCAAAAGGAGCTGAAACTCCATTTGAAATTCGAGGGAGAAGTCCCAAGGAAGCAGTTGAAAGGACCAGCACCAGAAGCATTAACACTGTTCACGGGAACAGTCCCATGAGTAGTCACGTGAGCAGTGCCCTTCAACCCAGAACCAACTGCATTCAATGGAGAAACTCTTAAAACAAACCTCAGAGAGCAGCTGAAAACCAGCTGAAAACAAAGGCCAGCTGAAATTAGGCTGTTCACGTGAACAGTGCACTCCTGCCCATAGCAGCAAATGAAAAACCGGATACTCCCCACAACTGCAATAATAAGAGACCAAGAACCCCACAGGAATCCATAATGCCCAGCAAGGCCACAGGGTCCCATCTGAGGTTGACCAAGCAATGAGGATCCCAGCTAGAAAATACCCCAGTAGACAAAAAAGCATGATCATAATAAAAAAATAGCAAAT